AACATAGCGGTTAGCAGATCAATGAATGAGAGGGCAGCGTTACCAGAGTTGCCCATTTACCACACCTGGTTACAGCACAGTAGGGCTATTGCAGACAGAAACAATACTGTACGTCGATGTTTCCTGTCGGCTCAATTTTTGAGTGGACTTTGCTGTTCCGATTCGCATATACGCATATATTATTATATACGCATATATTCGCATATACCGAATGGTATACGAGTGGAGCGACTGAGCGGAGCGCACACGCATAGAGGGGGATAATACGCAGAGCGTCACACCACGTAAAAGTGAAACCTGAGCGGTGAACTAATTTTCGGCAGCCAAAATTTCGGTGCATCTCTAATTATTGGCGACATCAGAAATTGATATTATATAATAGATGCTTTTTTGAACATTTTAGAAATTAAAAAATATTAAAAAAAGATTTTTTACACGGCACCCCTGCTCTCGACAGACGGTTCCCGGTTGGGAAACACTGATCTAATCCATTCACAAAATCAAGTGCTGCCCCCCCCCTATTTTTTCTCGTTTGACAAGCCATTTCACTAGAGTATACGTCATAATATTGAAGAAAATACGCAAATTCCGCTTCATGCAGACTGTCATCTTCTGACAAATTTCAGAAAGCAACAACATGAATTGAGCCTGGAGATTCACATCACTATCTTATTTCAAGGCCTTACATAATACGTACCTTCACTGCTCCATTTTACACAGATGAACACACCATGTCTCCTTTAAACAAGCTGGGATTAATATGTACTGGCTTTTGAATGCTTTTCTTATAGGGAAACAAGGGACCGACACAAAGTTTCTCTATACACCTTCCTCTCACACACACGCACACTTGAAGACCGAGAATAATCGCTCTGAAAGCATGGAGCCTACCGAGATTAACACTATCCCCAATGGAAAGGGGCACGAAGCTGGTGAGGAGACAACTGCAACTGCAATAAAAAGCCAATCAGAAGATGCAGCTCAGTAAGTATTCGCTCAAGGGTGCTATATAATGTCTGTCTGGTTAAGGATGGTTTATTGTCAGTCATCCAATGTGTGGAGATTTAGTAATACAGTTTCAGTTGGTATAAGCTTTATCATTCAATCCATCATTCAGTCTATTGTAGGGGTGTCTTAAGCTTTTGTTAGAGCATATGTACAGTATGTGTGAACATTAGTGTGTGTTTTTGCAATATCTTCCAGCTAGCATTAAAGCTTCCAGTCATGTCATCTTAATAAGGTGAAACCTGTCTGTCATCACAGTCCTAAATGTCACTGAACAGCACAGTTCAGTCATCACTGGGCACATTCAGTAGCACTGATGTTATGCTCTCATAACTGTGTTCACAGCTCCAATGTGTCTGTGATTGTGTAGATGTTTTTGTGCAAATGAATGCTTATGGGTGTTTCTTCAACTACAGGAACTTTTTATGTGGCAACAATAGATTTTTAGTCAAACTAACTTTGTTCTTTAGGTTATATTTGTTCTTTAGGTCACATTAAAATACAAATGCCTTTAATATATAGATTTGATTGTTTTACCCTTTTCTCAGACCCAGACAATCAATGTTTTAATATGAAAATAATCACAAAATTATGTTATTAACTGTTTAAAACTGATGATCTACACATTGTGTAAAATAAATTTTCAACTTCTATTTTGTGAAAATTATATATTTAATTAAGATAAAACACATATAATGCTGGCTATGAATTTAGCCGTAACAAGACAAAGGCAGTTTCATTTAAAAATGTTGCAAAATGCATAATGTTTTGGTTTAGAAAAAAATAACTGAATGCTCCTCTGAGGCATGTTGCTAGTAGGAAAAAAACATTTTAGTGAGAATGCAAAAAGTTTCCTTTAAGGTAATAATTTTTTTTCTCTGCAAGATTTAAAAGTGCCTTTAGTTGAAGAAACACCTGTATGTTATTTTATATGCAAAACAAAATCATCCTGCATGTAGAAGAACCGCTCGCCTTCACATAAGCAAATCAAATGTTTCTCAACTAGACATCACTTTCTCCTGATTGTGGCCACTTGCCTTCAGTAGTGTTTATCTAAAGGTGTGTTATATGTCTCTTGTGCTTTCGTGGATGCGGCTCCTACACTGCTCTGTAGGGAACTTGTACCAAATAGCACTGAAAATGCCAGGTATGTCATACAGAGAGCGGAATCATTAGCAAACAAAACTGTTTTTTTTCTGCAGCTGCACATCATGCACCTGTAAATAAAGCACCCACACTAAATCAGTGTTTTGGTGATGTTAGCCCTTTAGTAAGTTTCCTTTGACAGTGCACTGCCAGGCAATCTCTCATGGGTGTTATGTGTGTCTTTATTACTGACAGAACTCCAGGTAATGCAGAGGCAAACCTGGCAGAAAGCTCGGAGTTCCTGTCCAATGCAGATGACAAGAAAACTCCTCGCTTCACGGATGTAAGTTGAGCTTTTGGTAAGATTTCATGTATGGCATTTTGTGAACATGTGCCAGACAAGATAATATTTTTCAGATGTGAATGTGTGGACTAACTGCTCTGTTGTTCTTTTTAGTTTGAGGGAAAGACTTCTTTTGGGATGTCCGTCTTCAATTTGGGAAACGCCATCATGGGAAGTGGAATTTTGGGATTAGCGTATGCAATGGCCAACACGGGCATTGTCCTCTTTATGTAAGTTACAGATTTAGGTTAAACTCCATACATTCAGTTTGTAAGGGAAATGCCTTTATGGAGAATAGATAGTTCACTTTGAGCTAGAATTAATAAATTCATTGTGCGTTTGATACCATCATAAACCACTTTGTGGGGAAACATTAGAGCCAGAATTGATCATGTTTTTTACTGCAGATCTGATATTTTATTGAGAATTAAAGCCATTGTTGTTCTTGCTGAATATGTATCCTAATGCGTTTATTGTAGTGTGTATTAATAAGCTAATTAAATTGTCATCATGCTGTTATTTGATTATATTAATATGTCATCATGCAGTATAATTGATTATATTAATGAATCCAATTGTGAAGTACTTACTTTATCTTGTACAACAATTCTGGTCCCTATATTTGACTCAATGTACACTACCATTCTAAAATTTGGGGTCAGTAAGACATTTTTTTGAAAGAAAGAAAGAAAGAAAGAAGTACTTTTTTCACTAAAATTTATCACAATGTCACAGCTTCCCTACAGTTTGTTTGTTGTCATGATCTATGTTAATTCCCATTCTGTGAACTGGTGTTCCCGCTGTATTAATCCTCTAGTAAAGCAGCTTTTATTAGAAAAGTCAGATTGCCAGAGAGATTTGTTTCCTGACTGACCTTCGGTAGAGCTGAGCGGGCTGTACCAGGACACTCACTTTGCACGGGAGCTCTGCATTCACGCCAGACGTGCTGTATTAGTTTCGTTAACAAAGAGTCTGTCATCTACTGTAGGTATGATCTAAAGGTCTGTGCTACTTAAAATGGGCTCTCTGCTGTGATCATGAAGATTAGGTTGTACATGCTTTATGAAAACCAGTCAGGCCTTTTAATCTGGGTTGAGCAATGTACAGAGGATTTTTTTATTTTCCTTTCTGAGAGGGCTTTGGGTTTGAGCTGTTTGGTGTGACTGGGGTTCTGCGATATTTGGCACACTTGAACTCTCCATACTCCCGATTCTTTACGTGTGGTACCTGTCTGATCTGAGAACAGTGTTTCTCCAGTGCTGATTGTGGCTTCGGGCTACTCATAAATCAATCCCAGACACAATTTAATAATGCAGCTAATGTTCCTTTCAATAGTAGTGCAGCTCTTGGGAATGAATTCTTAAGGTTTATGGGAGTTTCTTAGACCTTGCTATGAGGATATCATTGTGGAGTCTCAGGATATGATGTACTGTATGCTAGTATAATAACATTTATTTGTATTCTTCTATATGCTTTATGGCTTATGATGAGCATTTTGTACTCTACAGGCTATCGTAAATTTTATGCTGATTTTTGTTGTATATGGTGTACAGTATATAGATGAAGATAGAGGACAGATTCTGAAATGTTGATGTTGGGTTTCGCCCGTGTGAGCTGTGGGTTGACTTCAGGCTCGATTTTGTTGTGTCACTTTGAATCTTGGCAGCGGTTCTCTAGAGACGAGAGTGAATCCATGACTCCTGGAAATACACAACATCACAAACAAGGATAACTTATCTATCTAGCATCACAAAACAGCGTGTGGCGTTCCTATTCCTCTTTTCTTACAAGAGTGACAGCAAACAGAGGCTCCTGCGCTCAGATTTCTCCTGAGAAAAAGACCCTAGTAAACTCACATTTGTCTCCTGTGGAGTTTCGGAATAGATTTCAACAAACTGTCATTATCATATATATTTATATGTGTATTTGCTTCTATTTTTTAAAGAAATTTAAGGAGAAGCATCTGGGACAATGTTATTACCTAAATTATCTGGGGGCTCTATTGGTAGTCTTTGAAAGAGCAGCTCTTTGTGGAAGATTATGACAAACCGAAAAATCCCCAACTTTTGCCTTGAAATTCGGCTTCCTGTGGCTTACTGGGACATGTTATTGCTCAAGGACATGCATTTATTTCATGTTCCTGGAATAAAAAGACAAGTCTCAAAACAGTGGGAGCAAGAATTGTGTCATACAAAGTAGATACTTAGAAAATCTGATATGATGATTTGCTGTAGCACCACGCTCAATTAATTTTTCATGTATTTTTCTCCATTAAAATAATCTTTTATAGCATCCGTGACAGAGTACTGCTGGAGTCTCAATTAACATTGTGCTTGAGTCACCCACTTCTTCCATTTGCTTAAGATGTGTTTATCCATTAATTTAAGAACTGATGAAGCCACTTGGATAAACGGCCTTCAGTAAATGGAGAAACACATCCAGACACTCCTGAATGAATTGTGTGTGTGATACAAAGTTAACAGTAATTTGTCTTCAGATTTTTACAAGGCATTCTAGCACCATAGCATTCAAGACTGGTCTTGATCTCAGATTTAACGCTCTTGGAAAAAAAAAATAATATGGCAAATTATTTGAGTGAAATTTTGAGTATTAATACATTTCATTCAACAGATAAAATGATCTAATTAAAAGTTTTGTATATTTTCATCATGCGTATCTATACCTTTCAAAAGTATGGGGTCATTAAGATTATTTTTGAAAGAAATGAATTAATATTTTTATTCAGCAAGGAAACATTGATCAAAAGTGACAATAAAGACTTTAATAATTACAAAAGATTTTATTTTAAATAAATCTTGTTCTTTTCTATTCATCCAAGACATTTAAAGACTCAAGTAAGTAGAGTGTTCCAATTCAGTCACTTGTGAGATTTCATTTTAGTTAGGAAGCTTTCGAAGGCAGCAACTAGCTTTTGGAACAGATATAACTCCTAAATTAAGACCTTTTTTCTTTGTCTTTTGGGGCTTGGATGATATCAAATTTCTCATCACAATCAGCTGATGTTTGGATACTGAACTGATCGCATAGTGCCTTCATTCAAGCCACCTGCATCCACTAACACACTGCAGCTGGTGAACAAATCGCATGTTCTGTCTCAGATTTTTCAAAGCTTTTTATTCTCATAATGCTGCCTCCTCGAGCGTAATTTGTTATTAAATGCGAGTGATTAGCTGTACTAGTTGTGCTCCACTTATTTAAATATTTGTGGAATGTTAGTCAAGGCTGGGAGTTTTTTTTTTATTTTTTGATGATGATGATTATCCATTTTGGAGCTTGTGTAAGTCAGGGCACCGCCGTTTCCAGCAGAACTGCACTCGTTGACTTCTCCTCCTGCAGTTCAGCCACGTCATTTGGAAAAAAGAAGGAAAAGGGAAAACGTGAGAAAGTGCGGAGTTGAAACTGAGTGCTTGGCAGAGAAGGCCTGGTCAGTAAAGATGCCCAGACATTCTGGACCTAGGAAAAGGGACTAAACAGGACATTTGCATGGAGGAAAAAGAGTCAGTAGAGCGTATTTCGGGTTCCCAGCTTGAGATGTTTGTCCAGATGTTGGCAGCTGGAGGGTGCCATTGCACTTATGGGCTGTCTGTGACTAGCCTGTGATTACGCTGTCTAGTATTTTTCCACCTTACTGAGACTATAACCTCTTTTCAGCTCTTAGAATTAGGCCTGTAAATATTTTTTTAATTCTATATTCTATATATTAATATAAACATAGCATATTTATAAATGATAGATATACAGTGACATTAATTTTTTTTATTCTAAATTATTCAATTATACTGTAAATACAAGAAATCAAATATATCTGACATGTTGTCATAGAAAATAAAAATAAATAATCATAGAAAATAATTGATATACATTTAATTTATGTTTGTATGTATATAATTTATATATGATAATTATAACTATAATTATAAAATAACAGTTTTAATGCACTTGACAAAATAACAGAATTAGATACATGTCAAAAGTTGAGGTTTTATTGACAAAAATAAGTATTAAAAATTTATCATTTAACTTTAAATCTGCAATGGAGTACAAAAAGTGGAAATCAGGATTAGACCTAAAATAGTCTTCAGAATCATTCATACATGTGAAAATCAGCTGAGAATTCAACAAATAGTTGTAACCTGGCTCAGAGGAAAACAAGAATCATGTCTGTGGCAGCTTTTCTGGTAATTAAGTGACAATACAAGGTTTTCAATAGCAAAAATGTTACAAAATGCACATTTTGAGAAAGTGTTGGATTTATAATGAAAATATATACAGAAAATATAATGTAGGGCAGTGTAATAATATTCTATGACTGACATAAATTCCTTTTTATGATAGCTTTTTTTCATAATTGGCATAAATATATTTAATTTCTTGTTTTTATCCTAGAATATTACTTTGTCTTGAGTGGCATTATCCCATGTGTGCTTTGAGCCCTTTCAGTTCTGTGCTTTTGAACCAACGGCTGTTTTACAGTACTCTGTAAATATAACACATTGACATTTGGTTCCAGTTGCAGTTATTTTGTCTTTTCTGTCTTGCAGAATTCTCCTCACTGCTGTCGCTGGTCTGTCTTCATACTCCATTCACCTGCTGCTAAAATCTTCAGGCGTTGTGGGTGAGTATTTCATCACACTGACCCAGTACCAGTTTAAAGCTCTCCTCTGTAGTTAAGACTATAATTTGGATATGAAAACTGTTCCTGAACCTTTACCCTGCTAAAATGAAGAGCTGATTTAGATGGAGGTGTTAACTGATGTGACATTGCTCTCGTTGTTGGCTCAGTGACCATCTGCCTCACTCCTCTGTGAGAGATTTTAATTGGCCAGAATATTTCTGGTGTGGAACTGCACTCGTTGACTTCTCCTCCTGCAGTTCAGCCACGTCATTTGGAAAAAAGAAGGAAAAGGGAAAACGTGAGAAAGTGCGGAGTTGAAACTGAGTGCTTGGCAGAGAAGGCCTGGTCAGTAAAGATGCCCAGACATTCTGGACCTAGGAAAAGGGACTAAACAGGACATTTGCATGGAGGAAAAAGAGTCAGTAGAGCGTATTTCGGGTTCCCAGCTTGAGATGTTTGTCCAGATGTTGGCAGCTGGAGGGTGCCATTGCACTTATGGGCTGTCTGTGACTAGCCTGTGATTACGCTGTCTAGTATTTTTCCACCTTACTGAGACTATAACCTCTTTTCAGCTCTTAGAATTAGGCCTGTAAATATTTTTTTAATTCTATATTCTATATATTAATATAAACATAGCATATTTATAAATGATAGATATACAGTGACATTAATTTTTTTTATTCTAAATTATTCAATTATACTGTAAATACAAGAAATCAAATATATCTGACATGTTGTCATAGAAAATAAAAATAAATAATCATAGAAAATAATTGATATACATTTAATTTATGTTTGTATGTATATAATTTATATATGATAATTATAACTATAATTATAAAATAACAGTTTTAATGCACTTGACAAAATAACAGAATTAGATACATGTCAAAAGTTGAGGTTTTATTGACAAAAATAAGTATTAAAAATTTATCATTTAACTTTAAATCTGCAATGGAGTACAAAAAGTGGAAATCAGGATTAGACCTAAAATAGTCTTCAGAATCATTCATACATGTGAAAATCAGCTGAGAATTCAACAAATAGTTGTAACCTGGCTCAGAGGAAAACAAGAATCATGTCTGTGGCAGCTTTTCTGGTAATTAAGTGACAATACAAGGTTTTCAATAGCAAAAATGTTACAAAATGCACATTTTGAGAAAGTGTTGGATTTATAATGAAAATATATACAGAAAATATAATGTAGGGCAGTGTAATAATATTCTATGACTGACATAAATTCCTTTTTATGATAGCTTTTTTTCATAATTGGCATAAATATATTTAATTTCTTGTTTTTATCCTAGAATATTACTTTGTCTTGAGTGGCATTATCCCATGTGTGCTTTGAGCCCTTTCAGTTCTGTGCTTTTGAACCAACGGCTGTTTTACAGTACTCTGTAAATATAACACATTGACATTTGGTTCCAGTTGCAGTTATTTTGTCTTTTCTGTCTTGCAGAATTCTCCTCACTGCTGTCGCTGGTCTGTCTTCATACTCCATTCACCTGCTGCTAAAATCTTCAGGCGTTGTGGGTGAGTATTTCATCACACTGACCCAGTACCAGTTTAAAGCTCTCCTCTGTAGTTAAGACTATAATTTGGATATGAAAACTGTTCCTGAACCTTTACCCTGCTAAAATGAAGAGCTGATTTAGATGGAGGTGTTAACTGATGTGACATTGCTCTCGTTGTTGGCTCAGTGACCATCTGCCTCACTCCTCTGTGAGAGATTTTAATTGGCCAGAATATTTCTGGTGTGCATTAGGCTAAAAATAGCCGAGCGTCTGCTGTGCTTGATCAACTGTGCCTGTCATTGTCAGTGCTATATCAACTATAAGCCCATGGTTACATTGTTTCCCCAAACCCACGTTTACCACATGGTTACCTTGAAAAACTAACAAACCTTACATATACCGTGATATCCGTGATAGTCGTTTTTAATAATGAATAAATTTGAATGCTATAAAAACAGAATCTGATTTAATTAGTAAGACTATATTACTTGGAAGACATGTTTGTGATATAATTATTATTATTATCAAATACAGTTTTAAATGTATTGTAATTATTCAGAGGAAGAAAAATATTTGGGGGGGGGGATTAGCTGTATATTAATAGCAAATGGGCAATGTATGGATTTCACGTCTCTTTTTTCTTTGTTGTCAGGCATTAGAGCTTATGAACAACTGGGCTTCCGAGCCTTCGGCACACCAGGCAAGATGGCTGCTGGCATTGCGATCACCCTGCAGAATATTGGAGGTGAGACTCTTGCAAACGTCACAATGTATTGCTTTGCGACCCATCAAGGGCACAGCACACATGTACACCTCTGCAGAGAGAGTGACTGGCCTTAGATAGCAGTGTCATTCATTCATTTACGCTCTAGGCCATCACTCTGTTATTTTTTATTTCTTCATTATCACAGTAACCGTTCCTCTGTTTCCTCAGTGTTGTAGACAGGCTGCAGTATATTTCAACACAAATAATTATTAATGTTGCAGTCCATCTGCTGATTATTATTACAAATATAAATGATTTAATTTCAAAATTGTTGAATATATCTATAGGCTATTCCAAGATTTCTGATAATCAGTTAATCACTGACGTAATGTAATAAATATAAAGTAATTAAATGTATCTCAATATCTGGCTTATTGTATAACATTCTTTTATAATATTTAAGATGTATAAGAGCTTTGTCATTTGAACCGTGATTTAATCTACAGTGATTGAAAAAGACCCTGAGCTGGTTGGCGTTTGGTGCATGTTTATAAAAACTAAATATAGAACTAATTCTCTTCTTTATTGTGACATTTATAACCAGAATCCCCTGGAGTGGACGAATACATCCTGGATTAGGTTGTTTACCGTATATGTGCGTGTGCGTGTCTGTGTGTGTGTATGCATCTCACAGCCATTCTCTCTCTCTCTCTCTCTCTCTCTCTCTCTCTCTCTCATAGCCATGTCCAGCTACTTGTACATAGTAAAGTATGAGTTTCCACTGGTTATCCAGGCTTTTCTCAAGGTGGATAATCCATCAGGGTGAGTACACGTTTGTGTGTGTTTAAAGTTGTGTTTTAGTTCCCAGAAAGCAACACAAATGCATCACCTTGTTTTTTCCACTGTTTATTGGCCACATCAAGACTTTCTATTACCATGTGACCTGTTTCAAGCATGTTAGGGTATCGGCTCACAGAAATACTTACTAGACAGAGAAATAAAACACGAGATATTTTTAATGTATGCAATTGTTTCTACTAGATAACAGTGACATTAAATGGAAACCAAATTAAGTCTGCTGTTTCAAATGTTTCTTTTGAGAAAAAGACTAATGTTGCACGAGTCTCATCTAAAGTTTCAGGAGAGGTCTTAAATAAGGTCTCAACAATGTCTCAAACTGTGGTTATGTGATTAAAAGTCTTCAAATGTTTTTGAATGAAGTCTCTTTTGCTCACCGTGGCTGCATTTATTTGATCAAAAAATACAGTAAAATCTGTAATATTGTGAAATAATTTAATATTGTACAATTCAAAAGATCTGTTTTCTATTTGAATGGATTTTAAAATGTAATTTATTCCTGTGATGGCAAAGCTGAATTTTCAGTAGCCATTACTCCAGCCTTCAGTGTCATATGTTATATGATTTCTAAAACATAATTTGACACTGAAGACTGGAGTAATGGCTGCTGAAAATTCAGCTTTGCAGTCACAGAAATAAATGACATTATAAAATATATTCAAATAAAACAGAAACTTTAAAAAAATATTAATTATTCCAAACTTTTGACTGGTCGTTTATATGAAACACAACTAAGATCTCCATGACAGCAATAAAAATGTCCTTTGGGGAGAAAAAAGGTAAGAGAAAGAGAGACAGAAAGCAGTGTGTGGGCATGTCTGCACTGAAAAGCCAAAGGGGAAAAAGGTTGTTTGATTAGTCAAGTCTGCAAAAGCATCTCTTTCAATGGCATATCTTTTTCTTTTTGTCACATACCAGCCTTTCATTGTGGGCAAGAGGGTTTTAACGTTAGCAACCACATCAGTTTGGCCCCTGGTAACGATTACTGCCAATTTGTGTATGTGTGTGAGCTGTGCAGTTTCTTTCTGATCAATAGGTCCCTGAAGATTTCTGAGTCACATAGCAAAATCCTCCTGCACAACTGTGTGAAAGTGTGTGTGTGTTAGAGTAGAACTATGATAGATGGACTAGATTTGATGAGAACAGGTTTGTATGCGTGTGAAGGTCAGATCTCTCCTAACTATAACACTCGGTTGCCCAGCCAAGGAAATGTGTGTGTATGTGTGTGTGACAGTCCGTGACGCAAGCCGACTGCAGATGCAATGACTGGAGCTCGGCTTGACAGAAGGCCTGTGCACACACTCTGGAGGACACCTCAAAAACTCCACAGAAACGACCTTTGGCTGCCTCATTTGAATTCCTCACCTCTCCAGGCGAGCGAGGAGGATCACGAAGCAGTAAACATTGACTATTCATTTCAGTTTTAGCAGACAGTGCCCATGAATCTAGATGTGTGACAGTTTGTGTAAATGAACACCAGTAGGAAAGTTTTCTAAAAGGACCTTATAGTCATTGTAGACATATTTAATTTGACACAAATATAAACAAGGGTGAAGGATAAACAGTCCGTTCAGTAAATTGTACTTATTTGTCTTCCTGGCTGACATGAATATACACATATGTAACAAACTTTGATTATATGCACAACCATTCAAAAGTTTGTGGTCGGTAAGATTTTTTAAACGTTTTTGAAAGAAGTCTCTTACGCTCATCGAGGCTGAATTGATTTGATCAAAAATACACTAAAAGCCTTAAAGGGGTCATATGATGCGATTTCAATTTTTCCTTTCTCTTTGGAGTGTTACAAGCTCTTGGTGCATAAAGAAGATCTGTAAAGTTGCAAAGACTAAAGTATCAAATCCAAAGAGATATTCTTTATAAAAGTTAAGAGTCAACCACGCTTACCTAAAACGGCTCGTTCTAACACACCCCCACATACCTACGTCACGATCTCGGAAGATTTGCCTTTCACCGTGGACGAAGCGGAGTCCAGCCCGGGGTCGTCACATGTGGTTGCCGCAAGCCCGCTGGATGCTCCTTCGTCGAATCCGCCGGCCGGGCCGTTCTCAAGGCCACCCGCCTCCGCTCACTCAAGCTTATGGTTTTGTGTTTACGCGGCGCGATGCAACGCAACGCGTAAAAAGGCAGTACAAGTCATTATAATCCGTAATTATGTCCCCACTGGATGCAACAAATGCCTCGTTTATATATATACATATACCGGTATATAGAAATATAAAGAATGTAAAATAAGGCAACATCTGTTTTTCCGTTACTTTTAACACATCAAAATTATTTAATTCATCTCAACTTCATTTTTGCAAGTTGTATGAGATGAAGTTGAAATGACTCATTTAGCAACTAAAGTTTAAATTTTTAAGTTGAAGTGCTGTGGACATTTTTTACAGTCTAAATATTTTTATTAGCGATTGGAACTCCTTTTAAACAGCAATTTGGTTTTGATATGCGAATGACGGCAATGCAAATAAAAGACAGAAAGCTGTTGTGTGTGTGAAAGTGGTTATTTTCTTCTTTTCCTGTCTTGCTATTTGGCAATACCACAATTTGTGCACTGTATTTTAAGTCACTTTGGTAAGGAAGTTGGTTAAAAGTGTGCATGTACAGTAAATGTGCCCATTTTGCACCCAGACATGTCCTCATCCAGACTAGACGTGAAGGGGTGGGTGGGGTGCAGAACTGTTGAGAGGAAGTGTGTTCAGGCAAGTGTTGGCATGCCTTTCAACGGCTGACTCACTCTACTGCCCATGTAAAAAACCTGTGGCAGAAAATGAACATCACATGCATACGGATCCTGAGCCAACCAGTAGAGAGTCAAGCACCATCTCCTCCAGTTTAGCTTGACCTCCCGAAATAACTTTGTTTTAGCGCTGCTGACCATGTACCTGGCATCTTTCACCTCAATGAGATCATACCTTATCTCCACTTAATAAAATCCACACTCCACTGAACATCTTTGGCTTGATGGAGTCGCTCCATTGTCTCAAATCAAGCTGAATTTCCGGGCAGGGTACGAGCCGTCCCTAATAAGTCTCTCAGTCTTTGTCGTTCAGAGCTTCTTTGAGAGATGCCATGTATTTGGTCTTAATGGGGGGCAGAATAACAAGATTAGCAGCTTTAGGACGAGTTAGAGAGGGAGAGGATTTCCTCTAAATTGGCCTGTGTTTGAGCACAAGGGTTTGGGTCTAAATAGCTGCTCAGTCACACATCCCAAAACATTTAAAAGGAAGGGCACTGATCACTCCCTCAAAATAATCACCACCTCCATGTCCTGGTGTTGTTTAGTAATGTGATTGATGCATTGCACTGTAAGCCATTTAAAGAACATACTGTAGTAAGCAGTCATTTATTATTATGAAAATGTAATGCATTAGTGTTAATTAATTAGAGAATCGCTGCTCCATATGCAAATGCACAAGGGAAATGTTAAATGGGTCAATATTTTTTAAAAGCAGTAAGCCACTTGAAACCATACAGTGGTTTCATTCCAATTAATGGGTGTTTATTGGCCTGAAACCCCTTAAGCATGGTAAAATCACTGTAACACACAACATTGATTGTTTTTATAAAACAGCAGCAAGAGCGATATGAAACAAATTTAAAACATAATGTTCAGTGAATAAATGCATGAGTATTAATAATCACAATAAACAGTTCTTCCATAATAAGATAGTAAAACAATGAAAAATGTAAAACACTGCATAGTTTTATGTAACAATGTAAGAATCAGTGTTATTTTTGTATTTTTATATGATATTATAGTATTTATTAATATTTTGAATTAGCTTTTATTTTAATATTTTTCAGTTTTAATTTAAAATTTTAGTTGAAGCTTTAGTAATTTTTTTGTGTTTATGTAATTTTTATTTGTTTTCTTCATTTTTCTATTTAGCTTTATTTTTATTTCAGTTTTAGGTTTAGTCATTTTAGTACTTAAACTTATTTTAGTTGTCAAGGAAGCATTTTTAATATTACGTTTTTAAGTTACATTTTTTTCACCTAATATTTATATTTTATTTCAATTAATTTTTTTAAATAGTTTAGTTTACAATAACAACACTGGTAAGAATAATATATGACCATCATTTTTATCTGACATAAACTTACAAATGGAAAGGCTCTGTGGCTCACACACCTTCTAATAGTGGAAAAATTACTTACATTTATTGTTGTAACATTCCATTGTCGTAGAAACCAAGATTACAATCCTTACTATTTTAAGGAAATTTTCATTCACAGAGTTATCAAGTGTGGATAAAAGGTTGTTTTGAACCATTTATAATTCTGTTTTGTGTTTGTCTTTCTTCTGTGATTTATTTGGCAGGGAGTGGTATTTAAATGGCAATTACCTGGTCGTCATTGTATCATGCAGTGTCATCTTGCCGCTGGCTTTAATGAAGCAGCTCGGTAAGTCATCTCAAACTTATGACTCTTATGTCTAATTGCACATACCCCTTGTTCTGCTCACAACTTCCTGTCTGCTCATCTGCATAATGTAAAATGGTAGTATTCATGTTTTATTGCATTGTGAGAGTATTGCCCAGATCAGACTGCTTACAGAGGTGTTGTGGGTAATTGTCACCTATTCATAACACTGTGTTTCAGGGTACCTGGGCTACACCAGCGGTTTCTCTCTCAGTTGTATGGTCTTCTTCCTTATTGCGGTATGTTTGTTGCTCTTGTTAAAGGAATAGTTCACCTGAAAATGAATTCTTCATCTGTATATCCTCATGTCCTCTCTCTATGACTTTTTCATGCACAGTCCATTGACAGGTGGTTTGAACTTCTTTTATTGTGTCTATCATTATGAAAAACTGCTCTAGACATTTTGCATTATATAACTGTGTGTTGCTCAGAAACAAGATTTAATTCTGCTGTGGCTTTGTTTCAAATAATTTTTTGCTGGTGGATCAAAAATTGACAAAGTAACTGTCAATGTTGTGTCTAAAATGTAACTTACTCTATTAATTGTTGTATAATAGTCTAAACAAAATCACTCACGATTGTGCAATATTGCTGAAATACATATTGTTTTGTGTTCCGCCAAAGACGTCATACAGATTTGAAACAACATGAGCAAGTAAATGATGACATGTCATTTTCGGGTGAATTATCCCTTTAAATATGTTTCATTCAGTTGCCACGTGCTGCTTAGTATTCCAGTCACGAAGCCGAATTCTGCTATTTTGAAATTTCTCTGTGAATACTGTGCTGAGAGTGTGAACATTAATATTTAATCTTGATACAGTTCCGATTAGCAGTTTCTAAATCTTATATTAGGCTGGGTGATTTAAGGATGTGCTCATGTTTTCCACCAGCAGGACCAGCGTGTGATGTTTTGTGAGAGTGTCTTGTATTTTTAGAGTGGGGTTGTGTTTGGTGCACCTCACTGACCTAGTTTTGGAGGGGAGCTTTAATCTTTGCACACGGCTCTCACTCTTTCTGTCCTCACGCTAGTGTGTGTATGTGTGGCGTTGGCTGGGCCACATCTGCAAGCTGGATTTATGAAACTGTCCAGTCTTTACATCATGGTCCTGTCTGAATACGATAACATTGCCTCTTTCTTCTTCTCTTGATTCACCATCCCTGCTGTGATTCAGATAAGCACCAAATGAAAAGACACAATGGAGACAGAGCCACCCCAACTTACTCTCTCTCATCTGACTGGTCATGTGACACTGATAAATGACATTATAAAGCAGTGATGTGTACCCTTTAGTATTAAAGGTCTCATATCATGAGAAACCATGCTTATATATATATATAAACTGTATAATGTATGAACATGATGTAATTCAGTAATTCATAACTCAAAAAGACCATCCTTTGAAACTAAGCAGTAAACACGAGTCACAACTCATCCTTGGATTTCTGACTTCAGAAGACTAAATAAATCAACAAATGACTACCTACATTTACAACAATGCCTATTTTAAGGTTTAAACCAGTAAAGTGTAAAATAATAGTCAGAAACATTAGACAAAATATTTTTTTTTTTACGTTTTAAGATGTGTGTTTTGTTGAATATCATATTTGATGCATCAGGCTTTTATGGCTCATATAGTATTATATCAGAGAATGTGGAGCTCAATTTGAGGAGAAAAAACAAATTACTAACATAAAATGCATATAAATATCAGTTGTATATCTCCCAATAATATGTCTTAGTAAGATGATATTTAAATGCTTAATTTTATGATCAAAGCTTCGTAGTTTTTTTATTGTGGTGCAAAACATATAATGCAATCTAATACAATGATAATTGAGAAATAAACGGATAAATGTCTGATGTATCATATTTGATACTCTCATTTTAACATGATTTTGAACATGATTTTTTAAAAATGATATAGATAATCAAATAAACCTAAGTTGCTTCAATCAAGTGTTTATCTTGAAATATTCCTAACATTAATCAAATATATTCTTAAGTTTACTTTATAAAAATATGTTTTTACAGCAACAAGACACACGTAACACAACCGAAATGTGATTTTTTTTTTTTTTTTTTTAGAATTATACTAAAAGGACTTCCAAAAAAAGTCAAAATTATCAGTTAGACATCAGAAGGCATGTACTGTAGTAAATTGAGTACAAGAAGTTTTGATGTTGATAATTTAAATTCCTTAGAAATTTGCCTATCAAATATGACATGATAATAGGCTTTATAGGATTAAAAAACCTGTCCCATTTAATTATGAGGGACAGAAAGCAAGTTTGAAATCGTCATGAAAAAAAAACATGGTGTCTAACTATAAGTGGAGCCTAAGGGGAAAAAATTATTAAACGATGACATGAATCTAATTGCAACCTATGCAAGACTTGTTAATTACTCCATCTCTTGTCTCCCTCCAGGTGATCTATAAGACGTTCCAGGTCAAATGTCCTTTTGATGACTATGCCCATAACAGGACAGTGTTGGGCTTTAACACGAGTGTGGCGGCTGACCCCGGAGGAGTGGAGATGACCCCTGAGGGTGACCCTGCCTGCACCCCCCGCCTCTTTAACCTCAACTCACAGGTATATCTTTGCGTAACTTAGAATATGAATATACTGAAATCACGCTGTGACATTCTTATGAGTCATGTGATATAAGACTTTAAGCCAAATGACACACACTGTAGTTCCCAATGAACCGTTGCATGACTCACATATATTTGGGCTTAATCCAAGCAGCCGTTTAGATATCAGTTCTCAAACTGCATGAAAATCTGGATTTTCAGCTTATGTTATGATAATATATTCGCATTTCTAAAGTTGTTAGGGGACCTTTGATGGGCTGTGGTTTTAAATATCATTGCAGAGTGGTCTGCTAAATTGGAAAAATATGAGAAAGACTGGTGTTTCCCGCTACCTCTCTTTTGCTCTCTTATTGTAGGAAACAAAAATCATAAACATGTCCTTGAAGTGACAGTTCACCCAAAACTAAATCATTTGTCATCATTTGGTCACCCTCATGTCATTCCAAACCCATATGACTTTTATCTGTGTTTGTCATGTCTTTTATTAAACTTTTATGTCCCGTAAGAAATTGAAGAGAAACATCTGAGACATAAATGAGACTACAGTTCAAAAGATGGGGTCTGTAAGATTAAAAAAAAAAATTATTCTATTCCGCAAGGATGCATTAAATTGATAAAAAGCTACACTAAAGAGTAAAGACATTTATAATGTTGAGATTTAAATTTGAACTTTCTATTCAACAAAGAATCCTGAAAAAAAAACACCATTTCCACAAAAATATTAAGCAGCACAATTGTTTTTATAATAATTTATAATAACAAGAAATGTTTCTTGAGCAGCAAATCAGCATTATAGAATGATTTCTGAAGGATCAAATCATGATCATGTGACACTGAAAATTCAGCTTTGCCATCACAAGAATAAATTACATTTTAATATATTTTAACATAGAAAACGGTTATTTCAAACCGTAATAATATTTCACATTACAATTTTTTTATTGTCCCCACATATGTCCTTTACTGTCAGACTGATAAATATGAAAGTCTGTAGTCAGGAGTGTTCAGCTCAGTCCGTCTCTATGTGCACAGGACCGGCATTTTAAATGAGCCCAGGCCTGAGCTCTGTCCAAGTCTGATTTAATCACAGCTACAATTAGCTCTCTGTAATGTGCTACAGTGTTTAATGGGCTTTAAAGTGTGGGGTTTGGGGTTTATGGTTGCCGCTGTTGTATCCATGGTGATGTTGACGTGGTCTGCTCTGTGTGTTTTTAGACGGCCTACACGGTTCCCATCCTGGCGTTCGCGTTCGTGTGCCACCCCGAGGTGCTGCCAATTTACACGGAGCTACGCAAGTAGGTGGCAAGTTCTTTCGCAGGACTAGAATCACAGATGAGTCATGTTGTGCATATGGATGCTATTACACTGGGCAAAGCTATTCATCTGCTTCACTGTCCAGATAGCTATGGTTTAACAAGTCTGTAATTAACATATTTGCTCACAGACATTCAAGAATATTATGGGTTTGATACAAGTTAATCCCAACCGACAGCACCTGTGGCATACTTTTTTCATAATTTTCATTTAAAAAAGCAAATCTGGATTACAGTGAGGCGCTTACAATGGAAGTAAATGGGGTTTAGCCACAGAACTTTAGCAATATGCATGTTAGCATGGTTTTAGTGTAACAAAAATACTTTCTAACTTTTATAACAAAGAGTGAAAAATTTAAGGGGGTCTGAATACTTTCCGTACCCACTGTATATATATATATAATAAATTCAAATATTCAAATAAAAAATCAAATATTTTGATCAAATAAATGCAGACCTGGTGAGCATAAGAGACTTCTTTTAAAAACATTTAAAGTCTTATTGACTCCAAACTTTTGAACGGTAGTGTATTTCAAATTTTACAACTTTGTTTCCATGATAATGCCTAACACCCTAAAACGACAAAATTATGTGCTCAACTTCTCTACAAGGTAACCTCAATTTGTGCTTTTTTTTTTTTTACAAGAAAACAAGCGACAAGTTGGAATAGGGTTTTTTGTGGTAATCAACATTACGCCACAAAACCCATATTATTTCTAAGTACATACAAAAATTGTTCAACATTCTATTATGAATAGACTTTAAAATGGCGAAACGGGCAATTAATATAAATATTTCTGCCTTATGACCATATCAGAGATTTTTATATGAGATTTGATGAACTTTATGAACTGACATTTTAGGTTTGAGTGTGCATTAGTCTTTAACTACTTTTTGTCTTATCCTTATGTTCTCCAATTTCAGCCCCACAAAAACAAAGATGCAACACATTTCCAACATCTCCATTGGAGTCATGTACATCATGTACCTCCTGGCTGCTCTGTTCGGATATCTGACCTTCATTGGTGAGGCCTGTTACTATATTTGCATTCTTTCTTCATGCATATAGTGACGATTTTCTCAGTAAAGATAGAAAATGAGTACCACGATGACAGCAAGAAGTGACAATCAAAAATATTAGTCGGATTGTAGTGGCATTTGTAAAATTGGGGACATATTAAGGTGTGGTCACACTTACCATTGCCATAAATACTAAGTATCTTAAATGTATGTGTGCATAATCCAAAAATTTAAAATTGCTGCAAATAGAACATACAAAAATATGTCCTGTGTGAACGTTCTCTAAGAATACCAATCAAAATGCAGATATTGTGCCAACAGAGAGGCGTTACGTCTCCAACTGTTTCCAAGTCTCCAAACGTTTCATGCTTCATTTTGATCAGGCTGTGGTCTATCTTTTAGGCCAAAGATAACATTCAGAGTCTTATTTTGGACTTGCTTGGATGACTAATACAGAATAAATCAAACATCTAGGACCAGGGATGAAGAGCAAGGCAGGAGTGTATGTAACAGAGCATAAAGCAGCAGGGAATGGTAGTTGCCACAATTACTGATGGTCATTTGGTCATCCAGGACAGCTTCCTGCCTTTTTACACATCAGGAGGAGACAGCAGTGTGACTAAGCTGAGATGGAGAGAGTGGAGGAGGTTTTGTTGAGGAGAAAAAGGAGGTGAGACCTGTCAGGATGGATGTGCTTAGTGGTCATTCAAGTTGAGATGTCAGAGGGATCAGTGAGATCAGTGTGACTGCAGCAGTAAAGAAGCAGACAAGAGTGTATTTTCTTATTTTAGGTACAAGATTTTAAAATTCACCCTCATGTTTTCAGAGCTTTTGAAGTGTAGGAGCAGATTGAGACCTGCTTAGCTGTCAGCATGTGTTTGCTGATGTCACAGATCTAATCATCTGTTTCAACAAATCAGTGTTGGATTCAAGGTCATGTTGAAGTAGTATTAGCACTCCATCTAGTGGCCATTTTGCATTAATAAAAACACATTTCCACTGTGAGCAGAAAAGTGGTTCTCAAACTGTGGTCAATTAAAATCAGTTGCTCAGTGAGTTGATTTACATACACTACCATTCAAAGGTTTGGAGTCTTTATTATTTTTTTTTTAAATGTTTTTGCAAGAAGTCTCTTATGCTGACCAAGGCAGCATTTATTTAAGCAAAAATACAGTAAAAATGATACAATTTACAATAACCATTTATTATTTGAATATATTTTAAAATGTCATTTATTCCTATGATGGCAAAGCTGAATTTTCAGCATCATTACTCCAGTCTTCAGTGTCACATGATCCTTCAGAAATCATTCTAATATGCTGATTTGCTGCTCAAGAAACATTTCTTATTATTATCAATGTTAAAAACAGTTGTGCTGCTTAATATTTAATTAATATATTTAATATTTTTGATGTATATCAATATTTCATATATTTGAAACTGTAATACTTTTTTTTTTCAGAATTCTTTGATGAACACAAAAGATTAAAAGAATAGCATTTATTTGAAACATAATTTTTGCAGCAGTTCAGTTTAATCAGACCAATTTAATGTGTCCTTGCTGAATGTAGTATTATATATGCAGTATAAATCTCTATCAAAAAAAATCTTACTGACCCCAAATCTTTTGAAAATTAACAAAAGTATATAAAATAGGTATAAATGACAGAAAGTCCCTACATTGAATGGTTCAGCTGATTAATCAACAAATAATAATGAATTAACTTGTGATCAAATGTTTCTGTTGTCTCAGTTCAGTAATTGATTCAATTCAATCCAAATTCTCAGCTAGCGAATACTCATTTAGGGTTAATACCTAAAAATACTGTAGCAGTCTATTTAATTTCAACAAATTAAACAATTGATTAAGTGAGAGTATTTTGTGGTTTCCCCCAGATTTGGGTTGTTAGGGTTGTTTTTTTGTAGAAATGGTCCACCACCTAAAAATGTTTGAGAACTACTGACCCGAAGAATTCAAAATGCTAAATGATTTTTATTATTAAGAATTATTTTTATTGAATAAACATTTTTTTAATTATACATTTAGAATGAAATGTAACTTAATATTACATTCAAATGATTGTATATGTGTGTAGATAAGGTGGAAGCTGAGCTGTTGCACACCTACAGTCGAATAGACCCGTACGACACACTCATCCTGTGCGTTCGTCTGGCTGTGCTGACTGCTGTCACACTCACTGTGCCCATCGTGACACACACACACACACAGACAGACAGACAGACAGACACACAGACACACACACACACTCTATGTTAAACCTTTACAATTTTAAATAAACTACATCTTATCAGGTTACGACTTCGTTAGAGGAGTCAGGATTGGATGACAGGCAGCATTTCAGTATCCGATTTCAATGCTTTTGATGCCTTTTCTCAGGTAAGGAGAGCAATTCAGCAGTTGTTCTTCCCAAATAAAACCTTCTGGTGGCCACGTCACATTGCCATAGCTGTCACCCTCCTCACCATCATCAACTTACTGGTCATCTTCGCCCCGAACATCCTGGGAATCTTCGGAATCATCGGTGGGTTTGGTGCTCTCGGCTCTTGAATGATGTTATTCTGGTCTCTTTGTAGCACTCGTTGGATTCTTTCTCTCTTTCTTTCTTTTGAAGTTTCATTTGTGTGAAAAGAGTGCGAGAGCTGTGTGCAGTGTCCTTAAGTGTCACCATGACAACCTCAAGGACCTCACCGTTGCTTTTATCTCCACATGCATTAAAGTCTTAAACTATAATACTGTACGCACAGTCCCAGCTGTGCATAAATCCATTGCCAACAGCATTATTAATCACCATTGGAATGTGTATATAATTATCAGCAAAGTCCCATTATGCTTTTCCTTTTATTACATTAGAGTTTCTCCTGGTCTCACACTTAACTCGATAACACTAATTGTTTCTCCACTTCTCGTGAGTTTTACCTACCTCAGAGAAGAATGGACACTATTGTTCTCTTGGCCCAACCACCATGAGAAATCTCTCAATAACTATGGCTTATGTTACTTGAAAAACTTTAGCTCAAGATATTCTGACACAGTTAAGACTTAGTCCTGAGGCATAATGTTAGTGAAGTATGAAGGTTTAGGTTTACAGTAAGTAAGTGTGTACATGTGTTTATTTTTCTGTAGGTGCCACGTCCGCGCCGTGCCTCATCTTTATATTTCCGGCTGTGTTTTACATCCGCATTGTTCCCAAGGAAGAGGAACCTATGCGCTCAGCGCCGAAAATCCTTGTAAGTACTTGGACATACTGTATTCGATTCCTCCCCATTCATCCACAGTGGGATCTAGTTTCTTAACTCTTGTAGGAATGTAGATGCTTTGAAAACTTTCATACTATCAGATTGAGATCCTCTCAAAACTAATCATGCTAAGAGCTTCGTAAATCCCTTGGGTAAATCCTTGGTGTGACCCAAAACTATTGTAAACTAGTAAACTCATTCCCCTTAAGTTACAGCAAACAGCAGGAATCCGGAACGTATAATTGTAGTATTTCTGAATCTCATGAAAACTGCCAAGACATGTCCAGGTTATAATTAACCCTAAAATCCAAAGGAAAAAAAAGTATTTTGTGTATATTGAAAATTAAAGCCTTTTTTAGAGCCATTAAGTTGTTGTTGTTTTTTCATTGTGGGAATATTTTCATGACATTTAAGCATATTTTCTCCCTTGCTTCACATTGTAATGTATTTTTTTGTTTTTAATTAAAATGTTATTAAAAAATTGAATTTTAAAAGTAGAATTATAAGTATATAAATATCAATATTTAATTTATGCTCCTTTAAAAAAAAGATTGTCATGCACAAAACTCTTAATGTTCTGAAAATTGGCTTCATTTTGTTTGCACATTTTATTTGATTTCATTTTGACCCAGACATTTCTTCACAATGTGCACGCAATCTTATTTTTTAGATGACATATTCCATTAATGCAAAATGTGATTAATTGATGCAAAATGTGCTTAATTTAAAAATCATGCACATGAAAATGGCACAATGCAGAAACAAATCTTAATGTTCTAAAAACTGGCTTCATTTAGTTTGCAAATTTTATTGTATTTTATTTTGACCCAGATATTTCACAATATGCACCCAGTCATATTTTTTAGATTACACAATCCATTAATCATTTGGCAACGTTGTTTATAATCCTGCCTCTCTCCTTCTTTTATAGGCTGCTTGCTTTGCCATTTTAGGAGTCCTATTTATGGTAATGAGCCTCGGCTTCATCATCATTGATTGGACATCAGGGACCAGCAAAGGAAGCAGTGGTCATTAGGCCTCACCCTCTAATGGTTTATGCTTTTTAATATTACTTTCGGGTCAGTAGTTGGGGAGGATGCATAATCTCTCAGTGATCAGTCACAAGAGTAGTACCAGATTCCTAGCTTTAATTGCATTCAATCAATGCATTATTTAGCCGTGTGACCTGCATGTGCTGTAAATGGGGTTTTGACCCATCTCAGGCCAGCATTAATAAATCCATTTAAAGGCCATCCACTTCCAAAAAGGAGTGGAAATAGTTTGTTTTAAAGCAGGGAGAAGACAACCAGAAAAGATAATCAGAACTAGAAAATGAAAGCCCATGATAGTTAGTTTGTGCCATAGTAACAGCACATGCAGTATGCAAGGGTTTACAAACAAAAGGGATTATGCATTCTAACCGAACAGACTCATCAGCTTGCCCAACCTCCCATTCAGTCCTTCATATGACCTTTGACCTCTGCCCTTCGGCCACATTCACAAGAGATTAGAAATCACAGTAAGTGCTCAGTTCTTATGGGAGGATTGGTGGTTATTAAAGTGTTTATTTCATCATATCTCATCTTAGATATAGCAATACTCTGTGCAATAGCTGTGAGATATCTGACACTGGAGGCCGTTGAGAGGAGACACACAACCTCGTCCAGAATCCAGACTTGATTTGGCTATTGGTCTATTGTTGGTCTATTACACAATTTCAAATTTATGCAAATTGTACGTATAGATGTACATGTCACATTTTTATATGGATTTATAATGTTTATCCTTTCTACAATATTTAGAGATAAATATATTAGTAGTTTTATGATGCTGTGTGTACATTAATGAGGGAAAAAAATTAACTTAAATGATTTTAGCAAATGGCTGCAATATAACAAAGAGTGAAAAATTTAAGGGGGTCTGAATACTTTCCGTACCCACTGTATATATAAAAAGAGTATTCCGATTCATCTGGTATTCACAAGGTTATCCATCACATCCCTTTACAGTATTTGTGACTATTCAGCTAAGATGTCGTCTTTAAAAGATTTAGATTTAAAAAGACAGAATTATTCAAGATGAAAGGCACATTTGAAATATTCTTCTTTTTTTAGGAATACTACTGTTGCGATGGGAAAGCACAGACTGGAAAGCACAGTTAATCATAGGGTCAGGTTGTAATGATCCCATGAGTCCTGCTGACAGACTTTGAAACACTCTCTGGATTTATATGCAGAGAAAACCAAAAACACAGATTCACAGGGTCTTCTCCTTAACTGGAGAAACAAATGTGGTGCATTGATGCACATAAATGTTTTAGTTACAGGGCAAAATGGCATACATGTGGTAACCTTGCCCGGTGGAAGCTGATCGGTTTTTGCCTCTAGATAGGCTTTAAAAAAGAGGCTATTAACCCAAGTAGACAGATGATTTTGGAGATCGGTTCCCGCACAGGATCATTCGGCGATTACTGAATCCTTAAACTATAACACTTTCAGTTGAAGCACAACCTCCACTCAATCTCCTGACCTAGTGACCCAGTTATGACTTATGACATAATCATAGATGAATATATTTTGTAGACAGATATATGAACAAAACCTATGTACTACTAACTGTAAATTGTTCAAAGAAAAGAGTAATGTGTGGACGTCTAACATGGTACATGAATATTTTAAACTTTGTAATTGAAACTCATCATCCTAAAAACAAACAAACAAAAAAATCAAGCACTTACTGGCCCATAATGATCTTAGTGGTAACACTGTGGTGTTTTAGTGTGTGTATGTGTGTGTTCTCTCCTCTTCTCGCTTATGAAGAAAGGATACTTCAGTCAGTGAACGTACTGTAATGGACTATAAGATGTCTAAATGAGATGTGCATTTAAATTGTGGTACTATTGTATTCATTTTTGTCTGTTTAATTAATGTTTAATGGATAGACCAGCCACACACATAACAAAATCATCATATCTGTGAACCAGTATTAGCATAATTACATATCTCAATATCTTCTTTCAGTATTTTAAATGTCCCTGGTGATGCATCAACGGCCTGTCAGACCGCAAAGGCACTGTAATATATTCTAAATTACAATCTGTACTTCCTTGTTTTGTTGTTGTTGTTTTTTAAAGCCTTGTTTATCATGGTCGGATGCTTCATTTCCCTCTTTGTGGTGTTTTGGGAATATATTGAGAAATGAATGATTAAATATGTCCGTATGATTGCTGAAGTGTACCATTGAAATAACCCATTGAGATCATTGGTAATTTTTTTGGTAAAGAAGCGTTTAGTTGTGTGTTCTGGTGACGATGATGAGATGTTATACGTGTAATGCCTCACACACCACTCTGGTTTCTTAAGCACAAAAGTGTTCCATCGTTTTAGCAGTGTGTGTTAATGTGTGTTCACATGCCTGAGAACTAAATGTGCCAGTTGCTAATGAATTGCCAGTATCCGTCATTAAGTATACCAATGGCTCTAAATGATTCTTGATTGCTCAAAGTCTGAACATGTCTTTGAAACTAGAAGTGTGAATCTCATGCAATGTATTTTTGATCAAATATAAATGCAGTCTTGGTAAGCATAAAAGACTTCTTTCAAAAACATTAAAAAATCTTACCGGCCCCAGTTATATATTACATTATATTACATACAGTATATATCATATATTTCTGTTATTTGATTTTGGAGTGATATTTTATGAGATTCACTGAGAGCGACTGTAATTTTGATTTGATAATGTTTGAGAGTATTTTGAAGGAGAAATGACTCCTGTTTGATGTATCCACTGCATAAAATAATGATTTTATGATGAAGGTAGTTTACGTTAACCAGTAAGATCTAATTAACTTACTATCGTATATAGCACAAAGTATGAATCTTTAGTATCAATGATGAATCATGGATAAATAGTGTTCCCTTTATAAAAAAGTACAGTCTGATTGCTGCAACTCGAGCATTACCAGTGGTGCACCAGAACAACAAGATCCCCCATAATGCTGTGCTTCCATCCCCAGGCTTTCTCATGCACAGCTTTGTAGCTTCTGAGCGGACGTCTGGGCTGACAGCAGCACTTTTTAAGCACCTGCAGATCATACCGTTATATGATCTCCAGATCTGCAAGGTATCACAAAGCAGCAGAAGGGGCAAGAATTGAATTGTCTTTTTTTTTTAGCAGCTGTGTACTTGTGTCCAGTCGGCGTGATGTTTCCCTTGTGATGTAATGAAAGTGTCATCTGTTTGTAACAGTTTATATGAATTCATTACTTACACGGCAGCATTTATATATAATGTACATAAATGTAAACCCTTTATATTATAAGCACATCTATAGTTTGTATATTGTAAATAGTCAGATGATGTCAAGTCTGATGATTAAAACGTAATCATTTTTAAGAAGTTTGTCTTTATTTTCTTTATTCTCAGTACTGAGTACATTGCTGGCAGTAAATGTACTGTAAACAATGTTCAAATAAAAAAAGAATAAATAAAATTCATTCATTCTTGATTCCGTCTACTGTACAGCTTTTACTGTAGAGTTTTTATATGTCTCTGTGGCTCACTGATGTAAAGGGGAATTAAACGCTGTTTACGTGCCATTTAGCAGATCTCTCCAAAGCAATACTATACTACACTAATTGTAGGTTGAGATGAAGTGTCTTTTTCAAGGGTGCAGTGGTCTGAAAGCAGTTCCTGGGGTCAAACCTGCAGATCTTTTCTTCCACCATCAGCAACTGTCTCTTTTCCATCCTGCTGATGGTCCACCTAAGTCTAAAGCTGTTTATGTCAAAACAGAATCTTGCCTAGAAACAGCAGTTTCCTGAAAACGTTCACATGATTTGTGTTTCCTCTTCTCCTGCTCTTCTCAAAATGGGCAGAGCATTTTGTTAATAATCGATTTAAACGCATCCAATCTGACAGACATGCTGAATTCCAAAAAAAAAAAACTCAAGTTTAATATACATCACCTCAATGCACTCTTAAAAATAAAGGTTCATTATTGGTATGAAAAACCTTTCAAATCCATGGAACCTTTCTCATTTCTTCACACTGAGAAAAAAATGGATCTTTTAAGCACAGTTCACTGAAAGGTACTTTGGGGAACCAAAAATGTTTCTTTGTCATTGCTGCAATTGCTCCAATTTATCTAATTTTGTTTCTCTGTTTACTTGGATGTGTAATCTGGTAATCCATAAAGACACCAGGAAGATTTCATTTGGTAGTAATTTTACCGCAACAATTTATGCAGTTAGACTTTTATACTTTTTCTTTTAAGTTCTGTTTATCCATCTTATTTTTAACGTAAGAACTGTCCATTTGTAACTTGAATGTGCAAGACTTCCTGTCATTAGCTTCCAATTATTTTTGTAGCGTTACAAAACAGCTCGTTGTGCTGTTTGATATTACAGACATGCTATTTCTTATATTATTTTACACATTGGTTTGTAGCGCAAATAGTTTTACCGTTTACTACACTATTTTTAAATAAAATCTTAAGTAAAGTGTAAATAAATATAATTTCTGACACACGGGGGCGCATGAAACACAGAGACAGGTCTAGCTCTCTGTCGTAATGCTGTTTGCTCTAGTCTATCCAAACGCTGGAAACGCATTAAATATGGAAAAATCATTGCGAGCACTTTAAACAAGGTTTCTTCTCCTGCTTGAGCACAACTCATACAGAAGAGCACAAATCATACAGAAGAGCAGAACACATGCCAAAATCAGTGCGTCAATATTGACACAAGTCTCAACAAAAGACATTTCTAACAGAGGCCCTAAAGAATGTCATTTGTCATCATTGAACGGCAAACAAGAGAAAGTCAGCTGTAATACACACACACAGGCCAATTTTGTCTAAAGAAACCTCCAAAAAATAGTTATTCTTATAAATAGATACAACTAAATACATGAATAAATACCACATTTAAAAGTAAACGTTTAAATGAATTCATACAGTTAAAGGGATAGTTCACCCAAAAATGAAAATTCTGTCATTAATTACTCACCCTCATGTCGTTCCAAACCCGTAAGACCAGTGTGGCGCAGCTGACACAGAACAACATACACTGTTTACGTCCAGCGGATACTCTCCAAAATGGCGCTAGGGTGACGCGGAGGAGACAAATTGTTTAATAAAGTTTTTTTTTTTTTTCTTTTGCGCACAAAAATTATTCTCGTAGCTTCGTAATATTACGGTTGAACCCCTGATGTCACATGGATTATTTTACTGATCTCCTTGCTACGTTTCTGGACGTTGATCGCGGTAGTACCCTTGCTGTCTATGGGAGGGTCAGAGAGCTGTCAGAATGCATCAAAATATCTATGAACGGCGGTCTTAGGGGTTTGGAACGACATGAGGGTGAGTAATTAATGACAGAATTTTCATTTTTGGGTGAACTAACACTTTAAATTAAAATACCAGACCGCCTTTAATATAATTTTTTGTATTGTTCTGTAAACAATTAGCAGTTGTTATTCAAGTTAATCTGAATGTATATTTGATATTTTCTTTAAACTGTAATACTGCGGGAAAACTACATTTCCCATGAGCACCCGCGGTGGGCGTATCAGAGAGAGGCTGGTTGGCAATACGCGAGGAGCCCAACAGTTCCAAACTGTCTTCTGCTGTGTGGCAGAGAGCAACTTCTCAGCAGACTGGGGTGTGGCGGCTTTGAAAACGCTGAAAGAAATCAGAGACCGCTCAGCGTTAGCTGCCTAACGGCGCATATTATTCGAAACACTCGGCGATCAGTGGACTGACTAACCGGGGATTTTGGCATTTTCTGATTCATACAGTTTCTCGTCGCCGATTGTCTCA